GGCTCAAGTGGTAGAGCGCTAGCCTTGAGCTGAAGAGCTGAGGGACAGCGCCCAGGCCCAGAGTTCAAGCCCCATGACCAAAAAAAAAAAAAAAAAGACAGCTGCGTGGGCCCTGGCTCCAGCTGTGGCACTCTGGGTGTTTTCCTCCATCTATAAAATGGAGCTGCAGCCACACAAACTCTGCAGTGTCTAAACTACTGATGGGCAGGACCCAGACACCTGAGGACAGGGAGGGTCCCAAGGCTGCCCCTCTCCTCAACCTCACGCATGCAGACACCCACCATCCAGCATCACCACATCCCGATGATCCTCCAGCAGAGGCTGGGCCAGGTCAGCATTTCCACCTCTCCTGCTGCCTTTCTTCACCAACTGCACAGCCGGGGCTGCGCCAGTGGCAAGAAACTGACTCTGGAAGCGCAGCAGGTCCACCTCGGACTCCCCTGGCTTTGGTCTGGACAGCATGTCGACACTCAAGCTGCCTCCCCAGTACAGCCTTTGCAGCACTGCTCCCGTGGTGTGGACAGTCCCCCTCACTCAATCCTAAGAACAAAAAAAGATGAGGGACGCTCAGCATGGGAATCCGGACTCTCCTCATCATGAAGCAGAGGACCCTCATTTCCAGGTGGTTTACTCATTTCCCCTCATTTATTACCACTTTCTCCCTTCTATTGCTAGTGCTAACTTTAAAAAAAATTTTTTTTTTTCCTGCCAGGTCTAGGTCTTAAATCCAGGGCCTGGGCACTGTCCCTGAGCCTCTTTGTCCTCAAGGCTAGCGCTCTACAACTTGAACCACAGTACCACTTCTGGATTTTTCTGAGTAGTTTATTGGAGATAAGAGTCTCATGGACTTTCCTGCCTGGGCTGGCTTTGAACTGCGATTACATTTCAGCCTCCTGAGTGTAGGATTATAGGGGTGAGGCACCACTGGCAGCCATTAGTAGTAGTAGCATTTACAAGCATACGCATATCCATACACACATCCATGTGAGTATGTGTGTGAATACTGAGGCTTGAACTCAGGGCCTTATAGTTATTAGGTGTGGTGCACAGAATTGGGTGAGAGAACTGGCAACCTCACACATTCCTGGTAAATATATGAGGCTTCTGATGTAAGACGGCACAGTCACTATGGAAAACGGTTTGGCAGTGTCTCAAAATGTTAAACATAGAACTACCAGATGCCACAGTAATTCAATTCCTTGCTATACACTGAAGAAAAATGAAAAACATGTTCTTGAATATTCAGGATTATGGACTAACAGTATGGTATATACAATAGAATAGCATTTGTCAATATGAATAATGAAAAGGTTATATATGTAACAACTCACATCATGCTAAGTGAACAAAGCCAATCACAAAGCATCTTGTTTATGGAAGTTTAACAGGAGTTTATTTTAGTAAAACAGAATAAAGGAAGGAGATGTATAAATAAAAGGAAAAACATCTCATGCAGGAGGCAGGAGCAGAGAAGTTCCTCAAATGATCTGATAATGTATGATTCTATTTATGTGGAATGTCTGAAATAGACAAATGTGGAGAACTGAAAAGTAAACTAGTGGTTTCCAGGGACTAGGAGAGTTGGAAAAAAATTCTGTGAATAGGTATGAATCTTCTTTTTGAGATCATGAAACTGTTCTTGGGTTAGACAGTGGTATTGGTTGCAACCTTGTGTGACTATATTGAAAATCACTAAACCATATACTATAATAAGGTACATTTTACAGTGTGTGAATTATAGTTCAATTAAAAAACAAAAATAGGCTGGGAAGTTGGCTCAGTGGTAGAGTGCTTGCCTTGCATGCATGAGGCCCTGGGTTTGATTCCTCAGCACCACATAAGCAGGGGGGAAAAAAAAGCTGGAAGTGGTGCTGTGGCTCAAGTGGGAGAGCACTCCCCTTGAGCTGAAGAGCTGAGGGACAGCGCCCAGGCTCAGAGTTCAAGCCCCACGACCAACAAAAAAGAAAAAGAAAAAAGAACATGGAGCTATTGAGGCTGCTTATGTTGTTGAAACTGTAATGGGAGAAGATGAGACTCTCGCTGTCCTCAAGTACCAACTAAGAGAGCCTCTGCTTACCTGTCTGTCTTGTGAGCGATGGAATACAGGAGGGAAAGCAACACTGCTGGGCACAGGCAGATTCACAGCCACTGCACTTGTATCTCGTTCCTAAGGACACAAAGCACAGGCAGAGAAGATGCAGAGCCTTCCCCGGGCTGGATCCTGTCCCACTGGCCCCAGACCAGAGCCTCACCCTGAGGGACCACAAATCAACCTCCCACCCAGTCTCTGTAATTCCAACCCAACTCCACCCACTCTGACTGCAAAGGGGAAAGTGCACCTTTCTAAGCACCCCTTCTCATAAGCCTCACCCTCGCCCCCGCCCCACCAAGGCCTAGTCACCCTTAAGGTGCCTTGCCCCACACAGCCAGGGTGAGACGCACAATAATTTTAGTCAAGACAGCCGTGACGTGCTGGTCATGCCTGTTCAGCCTCTCTTCAGGGTCTTCATCCTGAGGCAGGGGGCGGCCAGGGCTGGGCCTGGCTCTCTTAGGAGGAGCAGGAACCAAAGCTGGGGGAGAATCTGGGAGGTCTGGAAAAACAAAACAAAAAACACAAAAGACCAGAAGTGAGGACACTCAGATCTTCACAGGAAGACACAGGGGGTTGCAGGGTTAAAGAAAAGAAAGGCAGGGCTGGGAAGGTGGCTCAGTGGTAAAATGCTTGCCTCGCATGCATGAGTCCCTGGGTTCGATTCCTCAGCACCACATAAACAGAAAAAACCGGAAGTGGTGCTGTGGCTCAAGTGGTAGAGCGCTAGCCTTGAGCTGAAGAGCTGAGGGACAGCGCCCAGGCCCAGAGTTCAAGCCCCATGAC